TTCATTCTGTGTTAATTGAGATCAATGAACTTAAGAGTGGCTATTAAAAGTTACTTTATAGAAATCAGAAAGGGGCTGGAAAGCACACCTGTGGGAAACACAAACTGGAGAGTTGTCTTCATGAGTACAGAGCCTTCAGTCGTTTTATGGATCCCTCTCAACCTCAAGCTACACTTTCCACCTTCACCAAAGTCAGTTCCACACAGGTAGGAGAGGGCAGGGCAGAATGGCATTTGCAATCTGCTATGCTCATGTTGTTTCTTTTATTTAAGAACTGAACAGATTTCTGCCTCTGCAGGAATGCAGAGAGTCTGGTCTCAGGTGGGCATTTGAGGAACATGTGGTTAGATGCTGCTCTCAGTCCTCCTTGTTTCCTCCTTGCTGCTTTGCGTATGTCCAGGGCCAGATGATGCAGCACGGTTGATAAGCTAGCCTAACTGTGTCAGCCCCTCCCCTCCCCTCCCCTCCCCTCCCCTCCCCTCCCCTCCCCTTCCCTTCCCTCCCTCCCCTCCCCTCCCCTCCCCTCCCCTCCCCTTCCCTTCCATTCCCTCCCCTCCCCTCCCCTTCCCTTCCCTTCCATTCCCTCCCCTCCCCTCCCCTTCCCTTCCCTTCCCTCCCCTCCCCTTCCCCTCCCATCCCCTCCACTTCCCTTCCCTTCCCTCCCCTCCCCTTCCCCTCCCCTCTCCTTCCCCTCCCCTCTCCTTCCCCTCCCTCCCCTCCCCTCCCCACCCTCCCCTTCCCTTCTTCCCTTCTTCCATTTCCCTTCCCTTCCTTTCCCTTTCTCTCCCCTCCCTTCCCCCCCCCACTCTTCCCTTCTTTCTTTTCTGTGACAAATACTTGAGATAAATAATTCAAGAGGGAAGGCTCATTTTGGGATCACAGCTTCAGTTTATGATCTGTGGGCTCCACATTTTGGACTTTTTGTGAAGCAGGCTATCATGGTGGCTGGAGCATGGCAGAGGATGCTGCTTTTCTGGCTGTCATGAAGTAGATAGAGAGAAAGGTTCCAGGGAGAAGACCTACCTTTCCAAACATAGTAATCAGAGACATACTTCTTCCAATAAGCCTTTGAACTCGTCAGTGGATTAGGACATTGATGGAGTTAGCCCCATTACAATCCAGTCATTTTCCACCACCTCCAGAAGCTGGGTACTGAGCCTGCAACACATGTGCTTTTTAGGAGGACACTTGGCATTCTTACCATAATGCTTCTCTTTGGGGTCCCACGTATGTTCTCATATTTTATTCTTAAAACTTGAAATGTTTTATTTAGCCTTTGGATATTAATCAGTTGGGAATCGATTTTTGCTTGCAGTATGAAGAAAAGATACACTTTCTTTTAACACATGAAAAGCTATTTGTCCTAGCATTACTTATTGGACAGTTTATAGTGTTCTGACTGAATTATAATACTGCCTTTGATATACATATATATTAACATATATATATGTGTGTGTTTCTTTTCTGTTGCAATGATAAAATGGCATGACCAAGACAATTTATGGAAGGGAAGGCTATTTAGGTTTATAGTTCCAAAAGAACAAAAGTTTGTCATGGTGGAACTCTTGGCATGGCAGAAAGCAGGCATGATGAACCTCCCCTACCCCAAACTCTCTCCAAACAGTGGCACTCAATAGGGACTAACAGTTAAAATGTCTGAACATCTATCTCAAGTCTGAATCACATGGTTGTATACTTCTGGGATCTTTTACGTCTGCTTATCCAACTGTTCTCATTGGTCAGATTTTCTAGCCTTGATGTCTGGTAGAGAAAAATCTTAAAATGAGGGTTGGCTAGTTAACCACCTCTAATTTCTATTCAGCTTTGGGAACAATTTTTAGAATTCTTAAAATTGTTTTCAGATTTTTACTAGAAAGATATAGAACTTACTAATTTAAATTTAGTGAGAATAACCCTTGTTATCGGGACTTTTTTCTCTTTAAAAAAATTTATTTCCTTAGCTGCTTAAGATTTTAATTAAGATAATGTACATATTTGTTATTGTTTTCTAGTTACCTCTAGATTGTTTTCCTTTGTAATTGTATATTTCAAAACAGTGTCTACAAGTAATACTCTGTTGACATATATAAACTTCAGTCACATTACTATATTGCTCTTGTTCTAGAAATCTCTCTTGTCAGGTTTATAGCAAACATACAGATTAATTTCATTCTTCTATATAGATAATCATGAAACTGCAGTTAATACTTCCATAATTTTCAGGGTTTTTACTATTTCTCATTGTGGTGCTATCCAGTATGATGCTAAATAGGAATGAAAATAATACACACATTTGTTCTAAAATGTCTTCCACTGGATTATATTGTTTTGACTTTGTTACATCCAGTAATTAGGTTCCCAAATCCCTACTGACTCAGACTTTCCTGTTCACATACAAAACTCATACCAACCTCATTCAGACAATTCCACTTAATGAAGGTGTCCAACCCATAGGACTTTCATTTTGATGATCCACTCTGTGTCTGAGTAATTTACATCTTGTTATTCTTTCTGTGGGGATGTAGTCTTTAAATATGCCACTACCTACCCAGAATCAATAGGCAGACACCTATATTCCTTTCTTGGTGTCCATACTGATTGGTCTTATCAATCTACCCTCTATTATCTGCTAAAGTATTCGCTCACCTTCATCTTAAGGAGAAATGATTGGTTTAGCGCCTTGGTGTTTCCTAATTAATGACAGCAACAGTTTCCTGATTAGTCTCCTTCCTTTAGGTGGCAGCTCTCACAGCCTCCCCACTATTCTCATTGCTGCCAAGTTTCTCTTTCTAAACTATGCTCCTGTCCATGCCTCACCCAACTTAAAACACTATGCTCATTGTCTATGATACAAAGCTATGGTTCTTTAGCTATCCAAACAAGGCCCTCCATGCAATGTGACTGGGTTTCTAATGTGGTAGCCTAGCAAAACTGATAAGCTCATAGTTCAGCTCTGTTATTTCCTCATGCCATGAATTCTGTAGATTCTGGTGTCTCTGATCCTGTGACTCTGGCAATGTTTCATTCATTTAATCCCAGTTCAGATGTCACTTCCTCCAGGACCTACACATAGAACTAAGCAAATATTTGTTAAGTACTATCTTTCTGGCAGGTACTGTGCTTGGTCTAGCTATATAAAAATGCAGAAGGCACAGTCTGTCTGCTAGTATTTGATTAACTTCTTTATTTTCTTTAGCTCTAAGCATCTGGCACATGATTTTATTTAAATGCTTCTTTTTTCAAAATGTGGATTGGGAAGTTTTCATTCTTGATAAATAAGTTTAAAAATAAATGTCAGATTACTTTAAATATGGAGATATTTGTACCATGTCCAGGAAATATGTGGTATTCAGAATGATTCATGGACAAAGTTTTCGAAGAAAGATGATTATAAATGATGAGATCACAACTCAGAACTTGGTAGTTAGACCGTGGCTCTATCTACCCCTCCCACTTATTATGTGTCTATTAAAATCCTGTGGGACAAGTATGAAGAAATGGTTGCTTAGATGAAACCTAAAGTAATCTTCCTACCAAAGCAGGGGCTTTGGTACCAAAGCAGGAAGTAGGTGAGAGAAGATGAGATCTCATGTGTTTTAGACGAGGGTTGAAAATTTGCTGAGGACAATGCCAAACCCCAGAAACCATGCAAACCCCTCTGGGTCAGAGTCATCTGACATGACCAGTGTTGGTGGGAATATGTGGAGGTCTCTGGAGAGGATGGACCCCTCACACTGCTGCTTCCCCCTGCTGCCACGATGCTCTCCACCCTGAAAGATCTAAGGGCTCCTGCATACACTTCACCTGCCTTTGGCCACACAATTCCTGGATTTACTTCCCATTTTCAGGAAGTGAAAAAACTACCAGAAAAACATTTACAGTGAAGAGGCCCACTGAGGGGACCAGAGGACTAACCCAGGAGTGTGGGGTGGGGGTTTGACCTAAATTAGGACAAGCATGCTTCTTTGGGTGAGGGTAGACGAAGGACAGACACTACTAGAACCAGTGAACAGAATGCCTGAAAACAAAGCAGGAGAATTGCTTATGAAAAACAATAGTTGCATCTAGTTCAGTGAGCAGTGTGGGAGCCACCTGAACTTTAATGGCACCTTATAATGCTATCCTTGAAGAGGATGGTGGGGGAGAGGGAGGCTGGTCGTGGGAGGGCTGGGAGGAGGAGAATAGTCTTATAGGAGGAAAGCAAACCCAATGAAAATTCCTGATAAGGGAAGCTGTGTAAAATGCTTTGCTATTATTTACATTGCCCAGATTATACGTGACTTTCCAAGTTAACATCCTGGTTGGTTCCAGAAGGTCAGTGTGTGCCTCTCCCATCCCTTCCTTTAGTAGTTCCAAATTCTCAGGTCCCCACTCTAGTAGACATGACAAGGTCAAAGTTCTAAACCCTGATCTTGAGCTGGCTGAGATCTGTGCGTGGTTGCTGAGCAACAAGGAAATATAGGTGGGCAACCTAAGAAAAAATACACCAACATTAACTGCATCGACATACAAAGAGAGAGGGATTTTCTTTTTCCATTATGCTTTTCCTATGAGCACCTGCTAACTTTATGTGTGTGAAAATAAATTTATGGTCTCTGGTTTATGTTCTACTTTTTAGAATCTTTGGTTTGCAAACAAAACAAAACAAAACACAAACAAACCTGAACAGATCTTATGTGTAGACATCAGAAGTCATGCGTGCCTCTGTGTGTGTGTGTGTGTGTGTGTGTGTGTGTGTGTGTGTGTGTGTCTTGGGAGCAAGAAAGGGGAGTTCTAGAGCCAAAGAGGAAGAATTGCAAGGGTTGAGAGTGACTTCGAACTTTGCAAAGAAGGTGACAATTTTCTCTGTGCACAGGCGGGGCCTGTTGGCTAGGTGATCAGTTTCCAGCGGAGATGGATCACCTGGCAGCCTGTGACAGGTAGGGCGGAGGCTTGAGGTCCCCAAGCCTGGGCGGAGCAGGAAATCGCGACCGCCCAGGGCTGGGGCGGAGTCCCGAGAGCCTCAGGTGCGGGTGGGCTGGGCCATACCTGTGGGGACCCAATGGTCCGGCCTTGCTGCAAGACCTGCTGGCTCTTCGGAGATGCGCGTCCCGGCTGGCGGCTGAAGAAAAAAGACGGGGTTGCCCCAGGCCCTTGAGCCTCAGCAGCTAGAGAGGAGCCAGCATGGGCCACGGGCTACAAACACCTTGCCTGCTCCTTTTCACCTGGCTTCCAGCAGGTGAGCCCTGAAAATAAACAATAAAGGGTCCCTTCCTGGGCCGCTCGAGCCAGGAAGCCATTATTGCCTGGCTAGCAAAGCTGGTCACCCGCAGGACGGTGCAAGCCTGGGACCCGCTCTGGTAGCACTTGGCACGGTCAACAAGGAGGTACAGTGGCCGGATCGAGTATCTGCCCGTGGGAACCTGTTGTTTTCCTCCTTTATTAGCTAACCCAGGGCCGTCCGAAACGGATGCAACTGAAAATCAGGAACCTTAGCCTTTGGATTTCCCCTCCAAACCGTGTTAGACACTTGACGGCTAAAAATGAATCGATAAAGGTGAAATCACCATTCTTAAACTTCCTAATACCTCCCTCCTCCCGCCCCCTCCCCCCGAGCCCGCAGCCTCCGTGTCATACTTGCGTTCAGGGTGTAGATGCAGGGACAACCATATTGGCCCAAAGTGCATTCATTATTATTTTTTCTTCTTCTTTTCTGGGCATTAGTGTGTGAAGGAGAGTTGAGCGTAATTTCGAGTTTCTTTTACCTGCCCCCCCACACACACTAGCACCTGCCATTTTCTACTTTTTGTGTTCACTTTTCTCTCATTAGCCCCTCATTTCAGGTGCCTAGTCACCATCCTTTTGGCTTCCACACCAAACCCCTCACTTGGGATTTGTGTGTCTGAAGGTATCTCTTGGAAACAAGGCAGAGGTCCTGTCTGTGAGTGAAGCCTTGTAGGAAAAGAGAAGGCCCTCTCAGCCCAGTTCACCTTAGCGTGTAGCTGTGACTCTGTACACAAGAATTTTAATTTCCTTTGGACGTTCACCCAGTTTTATGTCGGCTTACTTCCCACTTGGTCCCCTTTGGAAATAGCTGTCCTCTTCCCCAGGTTGTCGGTGCAAGTTTGCTCACAGTTTGCTCACTGACCAATCGGCAGCTTGGATAGTTTTGAACAAACAGATGTAATGTGAAGGGGGGAAGAAGAATTTCCTTTCTATGAGCTAATTCGAGAGCTGCTCAGTTGTAACCAAATTTCACCCAAACTACAGTCCAGGAGAACTTAAGCTTAAAGCAGAGAATAAAAGGAGGGAGGGTTGCAAGACAATAGGGAACCGAACCGGGGGTGGGGGGGATGGGGGCGGGGGATGGGGAGGGATCAGCCCTCTGGAGCTCTGGAGGCATGCTGGCGTGCAAAATTTTTGTTCAGGTGTGGTTTTCTAAATTGTCTGACACTAACAGATGCCAATGCACACATGGTAGCGTCTAAGGCCTCACTTGAATTTAGGTGCTCAGATCGCCACCAGAACGGTTAACCAGCTTAGACCTTAAATGCAAATTTGTGAGCATCCTAGACTCATCTCTGGTCTTTTCTCCTGTGTGTCTGTCCAATTTTCTACTCCAAGTCTGTGTTAGCTGGGGACAGGATTCCTCTTTGAGCTGGCTTAGGAAAACAGAGGTCTGCTTCCATCAGCTCCTGCCCATCCTGTTTCCCAACCTGGGACTTCTGACATAACAGTCTTCTGCATAGAATAAGAACACTTGCAGATGGGGAACCCATCAGTGTATACACCTTGGTCCTTAATGCCTTAAACTACCTGCATGTTGTTGTTTTAAACTGTCCAGTTTTTAAATTATAAATGACAATGGAAATTTTCAAATACAGTCGCCAAATCTATCTTAGAGTATACAACTTGCTAACTGTATACAGACTTCAGAAGGCCCCATGTCTGTGAGCCAGTCATAAAATGTTAGTCACTAGGACCCCAAGGCAGGATAATATTACAGGGTGTGGTGCTTGCATCCACCTTCCTTATGTAGAAGTTGGACGCTGTTTTACTAGAGTGTGGAAAGTGAAGACTTCAGTGATCATCTGGACTCACTTTGATTTTATGCATGAGAAACAGAGACCCCAGCACTCTGAGGGGAAATGGCTACTTTCACAGATACTGCCCCTGCATATGTGGAGGGCTTTTGGTATTAGTGCAGTGCTGTTTACCACGGGTTTGTATAAGTGATGTTTGTTGGCTCTGGATGGCGGATGTCTGTATGACTCTGGCAATTTACTGAAGTGTTTAGGGCCTTCAGTAAACAGGGATTATAATACATATTTCATAAGGTTGTTTTAAGGATTAATTAAAATGAAAGTTTTAAGGTACTTTATATATTGCTTGTACAAAGTGAAGGAGGGCTTAATAACTATTAGCCATGCTGATAATGCTAGCTATGATTGATTTGGACCCCAGTAGAACTAAGCTTAAAGAAACTAACTCCTCCCTTCCCTGTGACTGAGAACCTGAAGGTTACTGTAACAAAATAACTGAGGTAGTCAAGTTGAAAAGGGGCTCATTTTGGCTTACAGTCTTGGACTTTTCAGTCCACGGTTCAACGGCTTTATTGCTTTTGGGCCTGTGGCCAGGCAGTGCCTTAATGTGGGAATGTGTGGTGGAAGAAACTTCCTGCCTCAGTGTTGAGGAACACAGGCAGAGAAACAGGACAGAGTCAGGCACCCAATATTGGTGTCCAGGGCACTTTTCCAATAGCCTTCCTCTAGGCTCCACCCATTAAAGGTGCTACCACCAATGAATGAGGCCAAACTGGCATCGGGTCTTTCACCCCTGGGCGTTTGGGAGGCACTCTTAGTCCTAACTATAGCAGAGACTGTCAAGTTACAATTCAGGCTCCGACTCTTAATTGTGGGTGAATTATTTCAGTTCTTTTCATCTAGAAAACAGGCAAGTTAAATCTTTCCCACTACTGCTGCCCACACACCCAACAAGAACATCTCTTTTTAGGTGTTTTACGGTCAAGCACAGTGGCTGTGGCATTGTAGTTACTCAAGCAATTCTGGACATGAGCCCATCTCCCAACTTTTACCTTTTCCCTTATTTTTAAAACAAACATCACTTCAGATAAAACTGTAGAAACATTCCTTGTTTGCAGTGTCTCACAAAACGTGCTTATCAAAAACTTTCCCACAATTTGCAGTCACAGGACACATGTGTGTTACACATGTACGGTAATGTGTGCACATATGTAAGCCATGCAACATAGAGACAAAGGGTTCACGACAGTTGTTGCTGTATCAGAAAAAATAATTAACATGAAATGTTATTGCTATTAAAACTCAGAGATAACAATCCCTACACTCACACTATGAAGTAGGAAAATCTGTTAAGTAAGTTTTTTTGAAGACCCATTCCAACTTGCAGTGCATTTATTGGAAACCCCTGTATCTGAGTGTGCTCTTTTGTGGTCTATAACTTGTTCCATTTTGGCTTGTTAAGAGTCAACTAACTCCCTGATTAGCATCTGACTTTCCACAGTTGAGAAGTATAGGCCAGTGATAGAATTGTAAAGTTCCAGAGGAAGGCGCTGAGGTCAGGGAGTCTTGAGAAGTTCCCACCACCAGGCTCTAAGCTCTGTAAAGATCACTTGCCAGCTGTGTGTTGCTTTGTTATTCTCTGAAGTCTTTCTTTTTTTTAAGGGGGTGGGGGTAAGAGGAATTTTCATCACATGAATGATACCTGAATTCTTGTTTCTTACTGCAAAATATTAAGTTAGGCTAAAATAAGCACTTTAGCACTTGGCATTATTGGATCCTAGCTTTGCTTGTTTTTGTCACTCTTAGAGTTTATTTTTGGAGTGAAAGTTTAGCTTCCCTCTGATTCTAAAAGGTGAGTGGCATGTGTGCTTTTGTAAAAGCTTCTGTCTTGTTGTTGTTTTGAGACTGGGTCTCTCTGTGTAGCCCTGGCTGTCCTGAAACTCTACATGAACCAGGCTGCCCTCAAGTTTACAGAGCTCCACTTGTCTCAGCCTCCAGAGTGTTGAGATTAAAGGCTACCACCACTAGGCCCTACCTGAAGAAAAATTGTATTACTTTACAGAAACTAGCAGTTATCCAGCCATATTCTTACACTTCGGGAAATCCAACAGCTGACACATAAGGGACACAATCCTCAGACAAAGCAGCAGTGATTTCCTCGAGGTGCTGGAGGTGGAGAGGTGGGTCATACTTAGAACTGGTGAAATCTTATAAAATCCTCAATATGGTATATAGTGATGCGGAGCCTCTCAGGGTAAGATGGTTATGTGTGGTGGTTAATTGCCCACTTAGAACCTCTCTGTCCCCTCGAGGGCTCCTGAAATTCCTTACAGAATTCCCATGCCCTGTTACACACAAAAAGAAGCCATTCTACCCCTTCTTCCCTCACCCCACCCCACCCCACCCCTGATGTTAGTACAGATAAGAAACTCTGGGTCCAGGGAAGCCCTGTGTGTTACATTGAGACACGGAAGCTGGCACCTCTGCTCCTTCCCCTTATTTCCAGCAGTGGAGCAGGCTGGTTTGGTTTAGTTGAATCCTGATACACAGAACTAGAGCTGGTGATCAGCCCTCAGTGATGGAATAGATGCCAATCAAACGTCTAGCCCCAAATGCAACTCCATGGTGTGAAATGTTGGGCAATTATTGGTATACCTTCTTCCTGAATTCATTTCAGCAGAAAAGCTTGTTTTGTTTGTGACGTCCCTGGGAGAAATACCATAGTGCTTTTCCAGATTCTCCCATTTCTAATTACCTGTAGATTTTTTTTTTTTTTTCCAGTTTTCAAATGTTGATGGGTAAGGCAGGGTTGAAGGATGATAGTTTTGCTATTTTATTCATTTCCCATTTTTAAGGACCAGGTTATATTGCTTAGTTAATTCCAGGCTTGGCTTGTTTTTTTGATTCTAGGTGCCAACACCTGCACTAGCCCCTGTTAGCAGACCATCTCCTTGCCTCTAGGCCTCTGACTCTTTATATCAGCATCCTCCGCCCACAGAATGACAGGCTAGGTTAATCTTCTTCACCTCCTCCACTTTTACTCTCCATTCAAGAAGCTTCCTGGAATTCAAGGACCTCTATTGTCAGGGATCTCCAACCGGCAGCTTTGACTCTCCACTGATAACAGTATGGCTTAACATACCCCATTGTAGGCCATTCTTTTCTTTTGTATGACCATATCACTGATGGTTAACTC